ATATGGCAGACATATTTACTCAATGAACCATCTTCCCAACTTTTTTTCTCCCAGGACAGAGTCTTAGTATGTGGTTATGACTAACCTAGAACTATGCACATCAGACTGACCTCAAACTCAAAATCCTCTTGAGTGCTGTGATTAAAGGGGAATACCATCAAACCTAGCCTGTTTTGTTTTTTTGTAATGGCACAGTCTCACTTTAACCCTGGCTGACCTGGAATTCATTCTGTAGGTCAAGTTGGTTTCAAATTTAAGCTATTCTCCTGCTTCAGCCCCTTGAGTGCTGGGATTACAGGCGCCAACCACTATACTCAGATTTTAGTATTATTTTTTTCCTTCTGGATTTCTGGGCAGAATATCGCTGTAGCTTTGGAACCTGTCCTGGAACTACCGCTGTAGACCACGCTGGCCTTGAACTCACAGAAATCTGTTTGCTTCTGCCTCCCAAGTGCTGGAATTAAAGGCATGTGCCATCACTGCCCGACTTGGTATTATTCCTTAAACTCAATGTCTATCTAAAATTATTTCATTTAAAAAATCTATAAATACAAAATGTGGTGAAACACACCTCTAACTTCAGCACTTGGGAGGCAGATCAGAAGTTAATGTCATCTTCAACTACACAAGTTTGAGGTAGCTAGGGCTACAGGAGAACCTGTCTCAACAAACAAAATAACTTGAGAGGCAGAGTCAGGTGGATCTCTGAGTTCAAGGCCAGCCTGGTCTACAGGACAGTCAGAACTACACAAGACTACTACAAACCCCATCTCAGAAATAAACACACATTTTATTTTTTTTTTTAAAAAAAGGAAAGATGCAAGCAAGCTACCTAGCTATGATAAAGAGTGTCTCCATAGTGACTTGCTCTTGTGTCTCTGATGTGGAATTTCCCTCTGTATGTTGTGATTACCATTAATAAATAAATGAATTGGGCAGAATTTAGGGACTTGGCCTGTTGATAGGCAGAAGTTAGGTAGGCAGGGAAAACTAAATGGAATGCTGGGAGAAGAAAGGCGGGAAGAGAAGCCATGTAGCCCTGTTGGAGACAGATGCTGGAACCTTGCAAGTAGGCCACGAGCATTGTGGTAAAATACAAAATAATGGAGATGGGTTAATTCTAGATGTAAGAGCTAGCTAGTAACACACTTAATTGGCCAAACAGTGTTTTAAATAATATAGTTTCTGTGTGATTATTTCAGGGCTAAGTGGCCAGGAACCAATAAGTGGCCTCTCTTCATACCACTACATGTCACCATTGTAGAATTCAAAAGAAGAAGATTAAGACCAGGCATGGTGGTGCACATCTTTAATTCCAACACTTGGAAAGCAGAGGCAGGAGAAACTCTATGAGCTTGAGGCCAGCCTATATACAAAGTTCCAGGGCAGCAAGGACTCAGACAGACTTTGTCTCAAAACATACACACACACACACAGATACAAAGAGTAAGAAAAATTCTCAATAGAAAAAAGGAAGATTAGTAATAAGTATTATTCTCATTAAAGTACATCAGTAAAATAGTTATAACCATTGGGGAGTGGATATTTGTATCTGTTGGCCCAGTAACTCTACTATTAAGAATGCATAGGGTGGAGCTGACAAGATGGTGCGGTGGTGAAGAGCACTTGTTATTGCTGCAGATCTGGGTTTGGTTCCTAGCACCCATGCCAGACCCAGCTATAGGGTATTCAGTGCTCTCTTTGGACCTCTCAAGGCAATTGTACTCATGTGCACATACCTACAATCAGACACAGATGTATACACATAATTATAAAATAAACAGGGGACTGTATAAATGGCTCAATGGTTGAGAGAACTGGTTGCTTTTCCAGAGGACCAGGGTTGGATTCCCAGAACCCACTTGGCAAATCACAATTATCTGTAATTCCAGGTCCAGGAAATCCATTGCTCTCTTCTGGCCTTCATAGGCACCAAGCACACAAACAGTGCATATATATACATTCAGGCAAAACACCAGTATACATAAAATAATAAAAGAAAATAATAAATAGAGTTGAAAGAAGGCTCAGTGGTTTGTTTGCTGCTCTTCTAGAGAATCTGAGTTCAGCTGATGACATCCACGTTGAGTAGCTCAAATTACCTGTGATTTTTTTGTTTTGCTTTGTTTTCTGAGACGGGGTTTCTCTGTAGCTTTAGAGACTGTCCTGGAACTAGCTCTGTAGACCAGACTGGCCTCAAACTCACAGAGATCCACTAGCCTTTGTCTCCCAAGTGCTGAGATTAAAGGCGTGCACTGCCACTGACCGGCTAACTACCTGTAATTCTAGTTCTTAAGGATCTAATTCTTTCTTCTGGGTCTGGGCCAACTCTCTCTCAAACACAACAAATCTAAAAACATATAAGGTGAGTTGGTGAGATGATCAGTGAACAAAGGCACCTGCCTCCAAAGTCTGATAACCCACATGGTGAAAGAGAGAATTCCCCCAAATTTCCATATGCATTCAGTGGTGTATACATGTGCAAACACACAAATAAAAAAATAATGCTCACACCTGTAAGCCCAACAACATTCAGCAAGCAGAAGCAGGAGGATCACCAGTTTAGGGTCTTCTTGGGCTACAATGAGTTTTGAAGCCAGCCTGAAACCCTGTGTCAAAAAAGGGGAAGGGGATACTAAAAGATGATTCATCTGGTAAAGGTGCTTGTTGCCAAGCCCAAGGACCCTAGTTCAATCCAAAACCCACACGGTGGAAGAACAGAACCTAGTCTCTCAAGTTGTCCTCTAATCTCCACATGTACCAAGTATGTGCATGTCCCAACCCGACACCCAAAAAAGTTCAAGGTCACCATCAGCTACATACAGAGTTCAAGGCCAGTCAGAACTACAGGAGATACTCTCAAAACTTGCATAGTGCTAGGCATGTAACTCAGTAGAAGAGAGCTTGTATATGCTTTGCAAGGTCCTGTTTTGATCTACAGCTAAGGAAAAAAAAAACCCTAGGTACAGCATCCAAGTGGCTGCTTACAATCAACTGTAATACTCCAGTTCTAGGGGATCCAATGACCTCTTCTGGTCTCTAAGGGGACCTGGTACACACTTAGTGTACATACATGTTGCAGGGAGAGGGGCCTGCTTGTTCATCCTGGCCACTGGCTAGCTTAGCCCAGAAATAACCACACAGAAATTATATTAATTAAATCACTGCTTGGCCCATTAGTTTTAGCCTCTTATTGGCTAACTCTCACATCTTGCTTTAACCCATTTTTATTAATCTGTATATCACTGCTTGGCAGTGGCTTACCAGGAAAGATTCGGCATGTCTGTCTCTGGTGGCTCCATGGCGACTGTCTCACTCTGCTTTCCTCCTCCCAGTATTCCGTTTAATTTTCCCTACCTACCTAAGTTCTGCCCTATCAACAAGCACAAAGCAGTTTCTTTATTAATCTTCTATGTTTATGCTATCATTTAGAACAGTATGGCCTTTTACAGAAGGCTCTGGATTTTTAAATTTTTCTAGTGAGACATGTCCTCCACAGCTACTGGGAATGACTGGGCCACTTTTGGCTTGGGGGCCTGAGAGAGGCCCCTCGAAGAGTTTCATGAGTTTCACAATGGTATCGGGTTGCCTTGTCTGTCTGTTGTTGATCTGCATTCACTGGTCCAATGTCGGCTTTTGCCACACCTTCTACATATACCTGAAAGCTGAGTCATACATACATACACATACCTATAGTCAAAACATTCATATACACAAGATAAAATTATTTTGGTAATAAGTACTCTTAACCATTGAGTCATCTCTTCAGTCTGAAAGCTTTAATTAATTAAACTTAGGCATGGTAGGTAGTACATGACTTTAATCCTACTCAGGAGGCAGAGGCAGGTGGATATCTGTGTTTGAGGCCAGTCTCATCTACAGAGTGAGTTCCAGAACAACCAGGACTATATGGAGAAATCCTGTGTCAAAAACAAACAGTCAGAAGCACTTGTTTCTTGTTATTTTGTTTTTCTAGACAAGGTTTCTCTTTGTAGCCTTGGCTCTCCTGACATTTGCTTTGTAGACCAGGCTCTCCTCAAATTCACAGAGATCCACCTGCCTCTCAAATGCTGATATTAAATGTGTGGGTCACCACATCTGGCAAAAGCACTCGCTCTTGCAGAGGACCCAGGTTTGCTTCCCAGCACCCACATGGCTCAAAATCATCTGTAACTTGAGTTCCTGGTGATCCAACATCTTCTTCTGGCCTCTGTGGACATCAGACATGCAAGAAAACACTTGCATACACATAAAACAAAGTAAATCTTTAAAACAAACAATAGGAAACGAGCCCTATATTTCAGTAAGTCTAGGTAATATAATAGACTTTAAACATATATATAAAATACACACAGTATAATGCCTGGTGGATAGACAGTAGGATAATGTAAGTAAATATATTTAACAAACTGTGAAATACCTGATAAGTGCTAGTTGTTATACTTCTGAATGGCTACTGCTCTCAGATCTACCCTGAATGAAGCTTAGATATAGTCTGGAAACAGTGGCTTTTCTCTTGGCTATAGAGGCAAAGAAATTAGGGAAACTGAAAAGAGGGATTGTGATTATTTCCTCTACAGGGGGACTGCTACCTTTCCTTCATATCATGAAGAAATGTCTGGACAATCTCCCAAGCTTGTATGTACACACAAACACAGACACACACACAAACACACAGAAATAATCTTCAGGGAATCGTGCAATCTTTAAAGCAATGTCAGGTCTGTGGGTTCATAAAGACAGTAGAATTTGGGGCTGGAGAGCTGACTCGGGATTAGGAGCACTTATTACTCTTGAAGTGGACCTGGGTTGACTCCTAGTATCCACATGGCAGCTTATAACAATCTGTAACTCCAGTTCCAGGAGATCTGATGACAGCTTCTTTTGTCTGTGGGTACCAGGTAGAGACATGGTTCACAGACAAACAACCAACAATAATTTAATGTATCAAATACTGCTGACTGAGACCTTTTGAGGATTAGGCTTTATACACTCTGATGAAATTGTCACAATCTTGAAAAACAGTTTATTTGCATTTATTTTTAAAAATTTGTTCTGAAACAATGGAATTAAGAGATTTTAATCACTGCAGTTAAAGAAAGAAAGGCACTTGAACAAAAATGTAAGATATGTAAGAATGTGGGGGTGGGCTTCTCAAGCCTTTTGCATTTCAAACGAAGGAAGTATGGCTGGTACCAGAACCCAGGAATGCCTCTGCAATGCAATCTAACCACCCTAAAAACAACATTTCAAAGCCTCAAAGAGTACTGCACTGTGAGGAAATTGTGCTGAGGCTATCAATGTGAAGGAGATCTGAAAAAAGAACCATGTTACTCAATGTTCCTTGGGTAGGTACAGACAAATTCATTATAGGCAGAAGGACAGTTTATGAAGAGAAACATTTCATTCCACGAGTAAGTTTTTTCATATGTTTAATTCAACCCTTTCCATTAAAGTCATTTTTCTCTCTCTTCTTGCTTCCATCTGGACGGTGAATAGGTACATGGCTCTCCCGTATGAAAAGTCCTAAGTAGATGACAGGGGTTCTGTCTCTATCTCTGCTGAGATTATGAATAGGGCACTTCTCTCTCCTCAATCACTTGGATCTACCCCAAGGTATCAAACTAAGAGCAATTCAAGAAAATGGACCACGAAAGATAAGCAGAAGAAGAGAACTCCAACCAAATCAAGAAGGCCAGTTGGAAGAATGCCTGAAGTCTCTTAGGACTTTAGCAGGTAAAGGTTTTCCTAACAGGCTCCACAGCAGGCTTCATGTCTGACATCAATTTCACTGTGGTGGTCTAGCCAGCATTTCTCAAACTAGTACCTTCTGCCTCCATGTGACATCCACAGTTACCTTGCTCAGACAAGAAGGAGGGGGCTATGGATTCTGCCACTCTGTATTCTCCTTCCATTCCAAAACTATCTTGCTGTATTTGCTCGAATTTAGACAACCCAATAAAGAACTAAAGAGATGATCAGGGAAGAGAATAATTTTGGCAGGAAGATGTCAAGATACCAAGGCTAGGTTCAAAGGAGCTCTTCTGGGATGTCAAGACCAGATCCCAAACTCTTTCTTCTTTTCTTCTCATACAAGAGCCAGGAGATCAACTGGGTTATGGCCCTATCACCCCAAATGTGACTGCTCTCATCTGATCTAAGAAACTAAGCAGCATCAGACCTACTTGGATTGCAGAACTGGGACCTAAAATTGGACATAGAATGGAAGGAATGTATTCTCCTTCCTCCCTCTGCTCTTCATACATTATTCTACTCTGGGCCCAAAGCACGCCAATCTCCACTTTGGTTTCCCTTGACCCATATATCCTATGGACAGGAGAGAGTTAATGGTATGATATAGGCAAGCTATAAATTTCCCATCAGTGTGGAGAGAACAGGATTGTTGGCAGGGCACGGAGGGGGCTGGGCTTGGGGGGAATCTGGGAAAAAGCCAGGAGGTTGTCTCTAGGTAACAATAAACACTGCAAGCAAGGAGCAGCTGTTACACTTACTCTCTCTGCATCACAATGCTGAAATAACACTAATAAACCAGTGTGCCCAATGCACAGGCATACACACATTTAGGGCCAAGGCCCCAGTTGCACCTCTAAAGCCGCCCTCTACTCCAGAGCAGGTCTTGATGCCACAAACATAGCAGTCCAGGCCTGGGTATACTTGCAGGGGCGATGAGAGCTTCCCAATCCAAAGGCAGTCGTGGAGTCAAGCTGAGCAGCAGAGGCTGGGAATATAATTCAGATCCTGTGACATTCAGTGGTAGAAACAATTCAAATTCAGCTATCTCTCAGCTGTGAAGAAAGAAGTGGGAGGAGGTGTGTGTAAGGAGGGATAACTACTTACCATATCTGGTCAGATTGGAGGTAATCAGGTGGCCAAGAACTGGGCTGGCCAGTGGGAGGTGAAAGGGAGTAAAGAAAGTAATTTGGGAAGGAAGAGGAACAAGGAGGTATCTTTCCTGAGGCAAAAGTCCCCTCATTCCTGCCTATACCTCACTGTATATCTAGGCTCCCCCTCATAGTACAAGCTTTATATTCAGGGCCAGATGATATGATAGCTTAGGTCAGAATTAAGCTTTAGTAATGGGCCCCAGAGCTCCTTACACTGCCAGGAAGGAGGAAGAGTAAAACTGACCTCATCTTCCTGCGCGAAGAATAGTTAATCTGTCTTTGTCCAGCCAAAGTCATTTCTGGATCACCAGTAGATGGGAAGAGCACCCTCACTCTAGCTAGAAAGTAGAGCTTCCAGCAATAAAAGGGACAGAAAAAGACAAACATGAACTCATAATCTATCACAGAATACCCGCCCAAGCCTCTCTTCTATGAGGCCAGAGGTCAGGATATTTATTATCATGTACCTAGATATACCAGTATCCAAAATCCCTATTGTTCTCTTTTTGCCAATTCCAGTCACGGACTGAGAGGATGGAGATGCATACCTGACCAGTGAGGGAGAACAACACCAGCACTTCTGAACATTGGTGGTTGCAGTCACTTCCCAGCCTGTATCAATACCCTGTTCAGCAGTCTAAGTGTCTCTAGATGCTTCTGTCTGGTTCAAGGTGCCTGTCTGATTCTAGTGAGGAGAGCACTAAGTACAGGTAGCAATCTTTCCTGGGTCTGGCCTTATAGTAGTATTTGCTTTGTTTTTATTTTTCTATTAAGAAATTTCTATGTGGCTGAAGAGATGGCTCAGTGGTTAAGAGCATTTGTTGCTCTTGTAGAGACGCAGGCTCAGTTCCCAGCACCCACATGGCAGCTCACAACCACGTATAACTTCAATTCCAGAGAATCTGTTGCTCACTTCTGGTCTCCACCACAGTCACCAGGCACACATTTCACATACAGGCATACATGCAGGCAAAACACCCACACACATAAAATAATCTTCAAAAAGAAATTTCTGGCACTAGGCATGGTAGTAGCACGTCGGAAGACTTTGGAGGCCAGCTTGGGCCAGCTCCATAATCAGATTGTCTCAATAACAAATAAACAGCCCCTCCGTTCCCTAAGTTTTATGTTAGCTGGATATGCAGAGTCCTAGGCAGGCTACTGAGGAAAACTAGCAATAGCTGCTTGCCAGGAAAACCTCTCTTCTAGAAGGTACCCAGAATCTCTGGGCTGTCCTGCCACAACGGATGTCAAATATTCTCCATGTAGCCTGTGGAGATAGCAGGTGATGTCTCAAGTCTTTCCTCACTAGGAAAACTCAGTATCTCCTGCTTACTTCTTTCTCATCTCTCCCTTTCTTTTAAAGCTGGGACATCTCCTAATCTGGATGAGAGATTTTTCATCTATAAAGCTCAGAGTGGGCAGGACTGGGGCAAAAGAAAACTCTAGCAGACTTGATCCCCCTTCCCCTCTGTTGTTTTCATGAACCACCCCCATTACTGTGAGTCACCAGAACCTCAAGCTCTGCTGAGCTGCCAGCAGCCTTCTTCCACCCCCTCTTCCAGACAGGCAAATATGTATCCAGTGAGCCCCAGTGCCCACCAATGTCCTAACACAGGGCCACAGCACTCTATTTCATCCTTAGGAATCTGCAACACAGGCAGGGATGAATGAGCAACAGAGTGTGAGATCCTAATATGTGCTCTGTGCAGGGCAGAGTCCTGGCTGCCTGCACAGTGGAACAGGCGCACCAGTCAGGAGAGCTGGCACACTTGGTCATACCACCTCAGCAGCATGTAAAAGGAAGAAGTTGGGGCAAGAATGCTGATTCAGAAGCAGACATCTCCTCCTGGCTTCGTCTCTGGCCCGTTGTTTCTTTTAGGCACCATAGCACTGCTACCTCTGTCAATGCCTTTCTCTGCTTTCCTTTCTGTCTATGGCTCTGGAAGGTACAGGGAGATCTGTATAATAGCTTTCTTCCTTCCTTCCTTCTTTCCTTCCTTCCTTCCCTCCCTCCCTCCTCCTCCTCCTTCTTCTCTTCTTTTCTCCCTCTCTCCCTCCCCCCCCCTCTTTCTTTAAGGTTTTTCGAGACAGGGTTTCTCTGTGGCTTTGGAGCCTGTCCTGGAACTAGCTCTTGTAGACCAGGTTGGCCTCGAACTCACAGAGATCCACCTGCCTCTGCCTCCTAAGTGCAGGGATTAAAGGTGTGCACCACCACTGCCTGGCTTGTATAATAGCTTTCTAAGTATCAAGGTGAGAGGTTCAGATTTCCAAACCTACTCTAAACCCATGGGAAAACTGAAGGGAGAAGGAAGAAAGGGGCCTCATTAGAGTAAAACCTAAATGCTAGGCTAATGCTGACTTATTCCAGAAGACAGGGAATTCTGGATTACTGCTACTGTAAGTATGTCCTATCTAAGTATTTTCCCACAAAGGGCCTGAGTTTCCTCTAGACTTCAGAGCAGGCTCTAGCCATGGACTTAAGGCTATAGATCTGAGACCCCAGGACAACCTTGGGAGTAAATGTCAAATCTGGTAGAATTGGAGGTAAAGCAGCTCTATTCCTCAGAGAACATCCAGAATGTAGAGTGAATGCTTCCCTATGCCGCCAGTACACTGTGAACCAATTACCAAGAACAAAAGGAGAGTAGCAGGCTTGTACACAGAAAGTAGTGACCTTCCCTCCTTTCCTGTGTGCTAATCTTCACTGCTATGTGTTCCAGACTAGAAACAACAGCTCCGTGAAAAGTAGCCACCTATCCCCACACAGTATTCACTTTGAATGTCCTGCACTACATCGAGCAACCAGTCCCACAGGTGAACTATAGGTCTCAGTTCTTAAATTTTTGGTTGTGAGCCTAGTCTTCAATGGCTAAACCATCTCTCCAGCCCTAGGTCTCAGTTCTAAAATGTGGACATCCTATATTCTCTTCTTCCTCATCTCCCTGACAGGACAGCCTTTGGCACAATTTCCCGCTATGGATAGCCCTGAGGCCCTTGGAAGCAGGAAGGGGTCTAGCAGGGTTTCTATCAGATCATCCTAGGGAGATATGAGGGCCTCTCACCCTGTCTGTAAGTAACAGACCATGACTGCCCCTGACAGTCTAAGGTCGATCAGGACAAGGTTGAAAGCTGCAGAGTCAGATCCTGCTTCTCTAAGGACCTGAGGGTAAAAACAGATTAGTAAGATTATCGAAGACAGTTCTAGGGATGGAAGGAAGTTAAGAATGAGAGCTGGAGCGTGTGGCAAATTCTATTGGTATCACCTTCTAATCCTGCATCCTATCTTTGCCTCCAGCCCAGTTTAGCCTCATGAAGCACAGATCAAAGTGTTGAAAATTTTGAGGAAAAAAAAAAAAAAGAATACTGAGAATACCACCTTTGGCAACTTGGTAGGAAAGTCCTCTGTTTACCTCCATTCATCCTTCTTTCCCTGGCCCTAGCATATGAGCAGTGAAGGAAATAAGGGAATGGGGAATATAGACACTGGAAATGTGCCCTTCTCTTTAGGATAAATCAACACTACAAGAGCCAGAAGGAGCCTAAGACTCTAAGGCCAGAATACTGCATGAATTCAGAAACCTTTCTCCTTTCTCCTTCCTTCCTTCCTTCCTTTTCTTTCTTTGGCTTTTCAAAAGAGGGTTTCTCTCTGTAGCTTTGGAGCCTGTCCTGGAACTTGCTCTGTAGACCAGGCTGCTCTCAAACTCTCAGAGATCCACCTGCCTCTGCCTCCTGAGTGCTGGGATTAAAGACGTGCGCCACTGCAAACAAGGCAAAATCCTATAGAGAGTGGCTCGATGGAAGCAAAGATGGATATGTCCTCTGGAACAGGCTGCACAAAGGGGGCGTTCCCATATCATGTCTCTTATTAGCTGCACCTGTTAGATCTTCCTAAACTGCTGCCAGCACTCGGGAGACCATGACAAGAGTCACTTGACACGTGGAGGACAGAACATCATTCTTATAGTTTTCATTTGGCTTTCTTCCCTCCTTACCTACCTACTTTTTCTTGCCCTGTGCTCCCAGGAACTCTCCAAATCCAAAACATAAAGCAACTTCAGGGCAGGATTCAATTGGTTCTTCCTCTCTGGGTCTTGGATTCCATATCTGTACAATGAAGGGGGTCAGGCAAGTTGAGCTCCAAGTTCCCTTCTTACAGTAATAAGACTCTAAGATTCAGACCCGAAGTCACCAGGTCTCATTTGCATGCCATTTTGCCTGTAACTTCTATGGCACTTATTTCCCACAGAAATGTATAGAATGGGCCCCAAACTCTCTTCTTTACCACAGTCCAGGTCCATAGTCCCTAGCTCTTATTCTCTCTCTTCAGGAACTTCTAAGTTTAACTCCACTTCCCTTTCATAATCTTATACTAAGAAAATAGCCTTACCTACTATTTTGGCTATAAATTTAGGCTGCAGACCTGAGTCAATCAGCACAATTCCATCTCTTTTGGAGGTCCTGGCAGTTGGGGGGAAATCGTCCCCTCCTCCTCCACCTCACTGTTCTCCATGCCAGAACGCAAAGTGGCCAGTGATTGATGGGCTCGGGTTCCTGGTAACCGCACCCAGTGGCCCAATCCTCCTCCCTTATCCAATCCCTCCCCTGTCCCTATTCAGAGATCAGATTGTCTCATGTTGGTCCCCGAGGTCCCATTAATTAAAAATACATCCAATTAAATGGCAGGTGAAAACGTGCTATTGGCGCTCTACACCCCCCTGCCCCAGCTTGGTCTTTCCACCCTCACCCCCCTTTTAAGGCTCAGCTGTGCTTTGAGCTGAGAAAAAAAAAAAGATGTGGAGAGAGGGAGTAGAGGAAGACATAGGGTAGGAGTATGACATGGGGGGTGTGCTTGAACCTCTGCCAGGGTAGCATGTGCCAGTCTGGGAGGGTGGCACCATGCCCTGGTGTCTAATTTCTGGAGGTGTGAGTAGGTTAAGTCATCTGGGTTCCCACCATCTCCACTTCTCTTAAAGGGGCAGAGGGCAGTCATATGGTTAGCTGTACTGCCCTGCTTCTGGATTTGATAGGCGAGGAACACAAGTATAAATGGCAGAGGGAGCATTGGTGTGGATAAGATGTCTAGGGGTGGGAAGGGTCTGATTCATCTTGGTATACCTCAGATATTTCCCAAACTACGAAGATAAAGGGCAACTGACTGGGACCCAGGTGTCAAGGCATGATGATGCTCTTGAGCTTGGCTATGTCTACCCCTGCCTACAGGAAAGCTGAGAATATGGAGAGAGGAAGGAAGAAGCCATAATTTGGGTGGGAACAGATGGGTCAGATAGGATAAAATATATACACAGACGAATGCTCATGTGAATACCATGTCTTCAGAGAGTCCTTTCCTGTTGGCTCTTTCTCTAAGCAAAAATCAGCAGCAGTAGTGTCATGTGACCATGGCCTGGCTGCCTAGTAGGCTGCGCATAGGGCATCTCCTTGACAGTCATTGATGATCTCATTTTCTTCCTTCCTATGGAGTCTTAGCATCTTGCTGGGCAAGGTATCTGCTTCCAACCCAAGGTCCTCCTCTGGCCCCAAGTGACACAAGACTAACAGACATTAGACACTGTTAGGAAGAACTAAGGGTGGCGTTCAGAATTAGGTAGAAGCGAGGGTGCCAACTCAGGGTTTTGGCCTGGCTGCCTTGGCAGCCTCCGCACCTCCTCACTTCACTTTAACGCTAATTGGAGATTTTAATCTGCACTGCTGCTCTGCTCAGGGTGCTGGGGTAGCACCAGCTGTGCAGTAATTCCAGCAGCACCGACTGTTTAATCAAGCTGTCCTCCTGGGGAGGGGCCTTCAGGCATGGGGGAAGGAGGAAGACCTCTGTCATTTCCCTAAGCCTGTTCATTCTGGAAGGCCGTCTGAGGGTAAACTGTGGAGTCCTCAGTCCCATAGGGCCCACGTCACTTGGCATGCCCAGCAGAGCCATGACATGGCATAGGGTAGACATGAGGCTCATAGCCAAAGCAGTCCCCCTCATGCTGTTTTCTGATATATTTTTGGCTCAGAGCTCTCTAGAGTCCTGGATGTGCTTTGCTTTGCTTTGACCAGATACAAAGATCTACTAGACTTGAATTCTGTAGATTTGTGTTGGGGAGGGTGTCATGTAGGAGATGAGATAACCCATTTTCTCAGTTTTCAGTTTCTCAATACTTTCTCACCATCTAGGATACTTTTCTTTCAATATTTGAAAAAAAAAACTTTTCCCCTCTGCAATATTACCATTCCCACCCTCCTGGACTGCAACTCAATATCTTTGGGGAAGGAGGCAGTGGGTTCGACAGTTGGAGTCAGGAATAGCCTACCTTAAAGACAGAGTACCTGGAAATTCTAAGTTCAGCTAGGCACCCACTCAATTAGCAGGCCTGAAGGGCCAAGTGAATAGGCCTTGGGTCATTTTAAAGGAATAACAAGTGGTAGTTATTTTTTCTGGCTTCTGGTCCAGGTTCTCTGGCTCTCTGGGAGTGTTCTGATCCTGTCCCTGGAAAGAGTGCCCTCATTCAACTGTTTCTGAGGGGCTTGCGTTTTAATTGGCCAGCAGTGCCCTCGTGTGGTAGAAATCAGAACTGCAGTTGCCCTACTGGGCAGACTGCTTTGAGGAATCAGGTAGGTGCTGGTGCTCTCTAATGACATCAAGGAACCAAACATTTAGTACTACCTGACTACTTCCTGGGATAGCTCCTGATTTCTAACATCTGCTTTATCTCTCTTACTCACTCCGTCATACATGCTCCCAGGGGAAGTAGCACCTGACTTAGACACTTATCCAGGCCTGTTGCTTTGGCTGTCTGGGTTGCAGAAGTGAGAGAAACACTGCTGAGAAAGGAGCCAGAGAGTCAAAGGATAAGGCAGTGTTATCTCTAGCATCCAGGAGGCAGGAAGATGCTCTCACCCTCTTACAACTCTCCACAGGCCCCAGAATAAAGTGGACACCCTTGCTTTTAAAAGAGTAACACTAGTGGTTGATTCTACCCTACAGTCATTCCTTTTCCACTCCCTGAGGTATGTGGGGTAAGATGCCGGTCTTTCTGCTGTTGTTGTTTGTGGCAGGGTTTCTTTGTACAGCCCTGACTGTCCCAGTACTCGCTCTATAGACCAGGCTGACCTCAAATTCAGAGATCCACCTGCCTCTGCTTCCTGAGTGCTGGGATTAAAAGTGTGTGTGTGTCACCACTGCCTGGCCTAAGACGCTGGTCCTAAGAACAAACACTAGATAAATACTCTCAAAAGATCTAGGTACTTTCCCCAGTAGGCCTTCAGACTTTGAGTTTCCAAGAGAAAGGGTATTTGTTACTGGGTCATTTTTCACCAGAGTCAAAGACTCTGTTTACTGGTCCCTTCACATATCTACTAAATGAGAAAAAGGTTCTAATTACAGAAAAAGTGATGGACATTAGAAGGGGACCTATAAAGACTAAGACTTGGAAATTACTAAGACAAAGAGCTGAGTGACAAATGACTTCCCTTTTTGGAGACACTGAACAACAAAACAATTCCTTGAGAAGGTAGATGTAGAACCTACAGACCCATTCATATGAGGGGTGGAGGGAGGGAGAGAAACAGACACAAGAGAGAGAGAGACAGATAGAGGTCATCTTTTGAGGAGTGGGTGAAACAGCACAACCTACTAGCAGGGAAAGAAGGTGGAGGTGCTGGTTCTGAGTACTGAAGACAGAGGAGGCAGGCTGCAGGCCTCTACTTCGGGTATCGCAGGCAGTATCTGGATAGGTAGAACCTTCCACTGAACCTAGAAAGAAGGTAGTGAAGGTGGTTAGAGGCAATGAGAAGAGATAGTACTGTCCTATCTTGACTTAAAGATAGAAAAAAAAAAGTTTTTTGGGAAAAAAGTGTTTAGTGTATGAAGGGGTATAGGCAAGTGAGATATCTATCCTAAAGAGACTGACAGTAACTGAATAACAATGTTGGTACTCAACTGTAGAGGAGTATCTCAACACAGGAATGAAGTGACTGCTACTGCTAGGGAGGGCTCACCCATTCTAGTTGGAAGAGAACTTAGTAACTAGCAGGTAGGACCCCAGAACAGGCCAAATAAAAAGCTCTGGAACCCTTCTGGAGATCTCAGGAGAGGATAAGAAACTTCCCTGGCCATGAGTGAGGTGCTACCCCATGTAAAATCAGGCTAGTGGCTTCTGACTGACTTTAAGTCCTTAAGATTTCAATACCTGGCTTCAAGTATTGTGGATGAGACTGTTTGACAGGCTCTGGATGCAAAGTAACTGACGGATGTCCCCGAGTTCTTCAGGGGCCATTCCTGTTGCTGCCATCTGTAGAGAAAAATAAGAGGCTATATGAGACATGAAACAGGAGACCAGACAAAAGGGTCTTTGGTCATGCACAGATTATAGTGTTGACAGCTACCAGCGATAGTGTGATAGTTACTGTTTCTCCAATTCTCTTAAGCTTGAATTCCCCCAAAATTGCCAGATGAATCTTAAGAATGCTTTCAGAGGAGTTGGCTGTTTCAGATTCCTACTTCCAAGGAACTGGCTCCCAGGCTGGTAAAGTGCAAAACCAACGCCCCAATACTTAAACATATATCGGGAAATTCAATAGAAATAGAAGTTGTGAAACACGAAATTACTATAAAGGGCAATGAGCATTAGTGTTAATACACAGTTAACGCAAGGCTGTTATTTGGAGGAGGCAACCTAATTTTAGACCAGATCACCACCTTGGATTTACGGTTCTCATATCCAACAAAGTTTCTTTAAGAGGAGTTCTGAGGCAGAAAATGGTCCTGATTATGAAACAGAATGGTTTGCAGGAGCAGACTTGATGCAATTTGGGCAAGTAGGCTATCATTCATTTCCTAGGGACAAAGTCTTTACATGGAGATGAACCCCACATTCCTCCATTCTACCAATAGTGCAATAGACTAACTGTAACTGATATATAACGGGATCTACCCCTTTGCTATCCAGATGATATCCACTTGGCATCCCCTAACACAGCCCATAACTATCTCCAAGTTGTCCAGTATTTCTCTGCTTCCTTCAGCATTTCCCTCTTTACTATTACAGGCTCCCAATTTCCTACGCCCAGGGAAAGCAATCATAGGAAAGGGAAGTGGACACAGCTTCAGGATGAGATGACTTACAGAACCTGTCCCATCTGTTAAACCTATTTAGGGTTCTGACCACTGTGAAACATTCTTCCTTATACATGGTCCAAGAACACCAAACACTGCTTTCCCCTGCCTACAAATAAAAGTAGAAGATTCAACTGTCTTGAATCTGAGAGTAGTTTGTTTTGCCTTGAATCCTATAATTCCATATCCCATTCAGAGACACCTGCTCCCAGTCTTGCCTTAAAGAAGGGCTTTTTCTATATATACATTTTGATTATTTTCAACATATCTTTATTATAATGCCAAAAAGCCTGAGATGACATTTAGTATGAATTTTTCATGTTGCCTCTGAGCAACTATCAGCCCTCCTACTTTGTGGCTAAAGGTTCGTTGAAAATTTGGGGTAACTAACAGCATTTAGATCTTTGGTTGTGGCTACCACTTTTTTTCCCAATAAAGTAGATTTATTTTTAATAAATACTTTACATGTGTAAAGTAGATACACATGTGTGTGTATAATTTGTATGTAATTGATTTTTTTTAAATCAGGTTATTTGTTTATGACACATGTACGTGAGGGGTGCCTGTGCCATAGTGCATTTGAGGAGGTCAGAGGACAACTTGCAGGAGCTGGTTCTCTCGCTCCATCACGTAAGTCCTGGGGATGGATCTCAATTTGTTAGGCTTGACAGCAGGCATTTTTGCAAGCTGAGCTATCTTACTGGCCCAAAATGAGCCTAGGTTCTTTAAGACAGGATCTCACTAGTAGCCTTGGCTGACTTCAAGGTCTGCCTGTCTCTACCTACGGGATTAAAGGTGTATGTCACCACACCTGGTCACTAAGAGATTATTCTTGAAGATAGAAATACATAACATAGTTTCATACTAATGACTTTAAATGTACTTTTAGTTCTCAATGTCTTTCCCCTTTCAGAATCTCAAGTTTCTTCTTTCTTGAAGTAGCTTTGGGTTATCAGGAATAGGCAATCTAACAGTTGAAGGCTTGATACTCATGTAGGTTAAAATTCTGCCTCTGGGAGCTAGTCATAGATGGCTCAACAGTCTCACTGCATGACTGTGGATGAGACAGACTTTCCTTCCTTAAGCCTCAGCATCTTGCTCTAAAAAGACAGGCTGGACTACATGACCTCTTTCTAGCTCTGGAAATCTATGATTCAATTCAGTAAAGTGCAAAATCTAAATGCTCCTTCATCCCCTTTGATATCTGTGCCTATCACTCTTCTTGATACCACTGTAGGAAGAAGTACCCCTGTAGTATATGCTTTTCTAATATACTCTGACTAAAGGGGAAAAATGAATCCTAAGAGTTCTTCAAGTGTCAAGTCCTTCTAAGAGGAAAAGTTAAGGAAGGGATCAAATTCTGATTTTGACAAAGCAAACAGGAGACTGCCTCTCCACACCCTCAAACTACCAGACTAAACACACACTTGGATTTTCCCTAGGGAGCCCCATATAAGTAGTGGACAACATTAGTGTGTGTAGATGGGAAGAAAGGACATGTAAATGCATCCATAGCAGAGAAGTAAGTATCAAAGCCCACACACTCCTGCTTTCCTACTGTGGACCTGTACATGCCTGCAAGAAGCCTTAGTAGGAGTGGACACAGCATCCCAGCCTTCTTTCTCTCCAAAGTCAGAAAGGAAGAGAGTGCGACAGGAGCTACTTGGCTTCCTATAAATTGTTTTGTCCTTCCTCACAGCTGCAATCAGAAGCTAAGGGCTCCCGCAGGCCTTGTTCTGATCTGCTGCAGGCGATGGAGGGTTTTTGAAACTGAGAGGACTTGGCTGCGGCCCCGTTTCAGCTGCCGTTGGGGCTGGCTAATGGGCTCATTCGGGAAGACCCCCGCCTGCTGCACTAAAGAGTCCCCTGCCGACCCCCTCCCCAGTCCCAACCCAATTAATAAATGGGGGCTCCCACTTTATGGCTCTGGGAACAGGAACCAGAGATACAAATGACCCCCAGGGAGGGACAGAAAAAGGCCTTCCAAGAATCAAACCAGAGAATTGTGCTTCCACAGGCACATGCTGCCACAGGCTAGTCAATTCCCATTTTCAAAGCATTAAAGGGGAAGAAACAGACAAAAACAAAACAATCCAAAAACCAACCAAACAAAACCCTCTATTTTCTTTCCCAGATCCAGACTTTCTTAGGGCAGGAAATGGGCACATCTGGACACAGCACATGCTCTACTGTCCTCCCTTGGCAGGGCCTGGTCCTACTAAACAAAGGCACATTGCATTTGGCTAGCAATCACCTGCTTCTTAAGAAACAAAGCAGCCACCTTTCATCTAACTTTGACCAACAGCTCAGATGTGTCCTAGGATCCTCATCTGGAACCCACCTTTCACCCCTTCCATTCACACCCACGCTGCTAGCAAGCCTAACTCCTGTCCTTTGGATTCCCCTAGTTCCACTCTAGTGTAAGTCCTTAGTGCTTCAAGTCTGGATAAGAATAAAAGCATCCTAAAGAACTGTTTCCTTGGCCCAGTAAAGTTACAAAAGGTTTCGGTATAATTTTTTAGCTCACTCTGCTTTATTCTCTATTACTCCTGAACAAACCAAATTCTGAATCCTATTTCAGGCCAGTAAAATTGGTTCTGGAACTTCATTTCCTAATACATCCTTTTTGTTCCAGTCCTCACAGAGAACACACATAATGTCCTCTTCTCCCACTCTCTACACAATGCTAGTAAGATGATCTTCTTATATGGGGCACAGAACTCAAGTTTTCTTTCTCTCCAAAGTCACAAAGAGACAGTGGGACAGGAGCTACTTGGGTTCCTAAAAATTACTCGGGACTTTGTGCTGTGTCCTGCCATCTTTACTTTCTTATTTTTTTTAATATTTATTTATTATGTATACAGTGTTCTGCCTGTTTATATGCCTGCAAGCCAAAAGAGGGAGCCAGATCTTATTATAGGTGAGCCACCATGTGGTTGCTGGGAATTGAACTCAGGACCTTTGGAAGAGCAGTCAGTGCTCTTAACCTCTGAGCCATCTCTCCAACCCATTACTTTCAAAGAGTCATTCTGATTATTTCTACCTTTTCTACGTATTTCTTTGCTTTGGCTTCTTCTTAGGGTTTAGGCTTACTTCATAACCTCACAACTATGTAGACTTATAAAATATATGTTCTTAAATAAGCAAGCTCTTGGAGGTAGACTTATGAGGCCATCCTGGACTACAGTTGAAGCTAGTCTAGGTGACACAGCCTTTGTCTCAAGTCTGTCTCAAATGGAAAAGCACAGCAAACTAAACAAAAAAATATCAATTCCCCATACCTCGGACAGGTGTAAGACTCATCTCTCTCACTAAATCCAGAAGCTTTCTAAAGGTGGGACCTTCTCTTGGTGTTCTTGCTAATCATGCTCTCCTGTATTCAGGACATGATTTAACTAGTGATATTCCTGCTTCTCAATGAAGGTGCTGTCATGGCATAACTCTCTGGACATTGGATCTCTGTCAACTTTCAGGTTGCCACCTGCTCCAAAGGACATCAGGTCTTTTCAAATTATAAGTTTAGGTTGGGTAGTGGTGGCACACACCTTTAATCCCAGCATTTAGGAGACAGAGGCAGGTAGATCACCGAGTTCAAGATCAGACTGGTCTACAGAGTGAGTTCCCTGTCTCAAAGAGAAAAGAAATTACAAATTCAGTTTCATGATTTCAAACAAAAATAAAGTGAGGGGCTGGAGAGATGGCTCGGTGGTTAAGAATATCGGCTGCCCTTCCAGAGAACCCGGGTTTGATTCCCAGTACCTACAAGGTAGCTCACAACTATCTTTAACTCCAGTACCAAGGGATCTGATGATCTCTTCTGCCCACACACCAAGCAACACACATGGTGCAGACATACATGCAGGTAAAACACACACACACACACAAAATTACCTCATTGACTCATACTATTTAAACATTTTCTTTAAGGACACCTTAAGGATGAAAACTCATTTTATTATTATTACTTTTTTAATAGCATCTCTGCTGGGCAGTGGTGGCACACACCTTTAATCCTAGCACTCGGGAGGCAGAGGCAGTATGAGATCCTAGTCTATGTAGTAAGTTTCAGGTCAGCCAGAGCTATATAAGTGAGACCCCGTCTCACAAAAAGCAAAACAGAATCTCACACATCCCAGCCCGGTCTACAAATCAAGTTCCAGGACACGCTCCAAAGCT